AATAGATATATTGAAGTTGCTCAACACTCAGCCTAAGGATAACGGATCTCATCTCTCCTTGCCTTCAAAGATGGCAGAGGTGTCTGTTTTGTTAAGCTTGTGTTGAAGCAAGAAGGCGGGTGGTGGTACCTGGGTAATGTGGGGGGGGCTGACAAGCATGGACGGTCCCTGCACCCTCATATACCGTCTGTGAAGTCCTGCTGTTAGGGGGGAAATCATGAAGGTCTGAGGAAGGAGGAAAACACGGAGATTAGGATGGGATGTGGGATTTCTGATTCAGTAACAGAAGGAAAGGTCAGTGTTTAATCTTCATCCTCCTGGGAGGTCTTCCTCCACTCACAGCCAAACTTGACATTAGCAGCCCGGCTGATGATGGTCCCACACGGGTTCTTAGCCAGACACTGGTATGACCCTGTGTCCTGAATACTGTCCGGGTTGCTGATCACCAGGCTGCCAGCCACTAAAGTGTAGCGGCTGGACCCCAGCTCCAGCAGGGTGCCATTCAGTTTCCACCTACAGGACCAGAAAGGAAACAAACTATAGAAAAACTACATTCAATTCAATTCAATGGTACTTTATTCCTAGGCTCAGAGGTGAAATGCTATAATCTTGGAGAAAGTTATAAGCTCGGATCTTGACGGAATGGAGCATAAAAATATTTTCTACAGGGTTTCGTCATGATGAGAATACAACAAAAACTCTGAAGACTCGCAAAAAACAAATTATCAGCCAGCCTGACCCAGAAAATCTGTCTCTATCTGAAATTCAGCTCCACACTGACCTTCAGAGCCTTTATCTACTCAACTCTCTGGGGATGAAATGTAAATATGAGGCTCTGCCCTCCGCCCCCCCCCATCACATCAAGACATCTGTGAAGCTGCGCTGTTGGTCGGCTGACTAACACACACTGATGCTCAGATATTCAGCCTACAAGAATAGATGAACTGAATTGAAGACAAGGGCGTAGGTTTGATTTGAACTTTAATAGGGACACTATTGGTCTGGTGTCATTGGTGCTATGCAATATGCATGTCCTTTTTTATGCTGGATGTGAGCATCCGTACTGATAAGAGGAATTCATTGTTAAAAGAGAAAAGCATCATTTTGCTCCATTAATAAAAATGTTATAAGCTCTACACTCATTAGATGCTGTTTATCAATGTTTGAAGTATCAGCGGCTCTGATGAATGTGGAATTAGGACTGTTTTCCACTTTGAAAAC